GCTGCTGGATGGTACCTACCTAATAGTCCCAATCTGGCTACCATTAGTGCAGTGGATGTGTTGCCTTTATTGCCTGGCGAGTATATCTGGAAGGTAGCTAGTGAGTAGCCAAGGCTAATAGGCATTGGCATGGCAACAGCCATGTCAGCGCACACTGATGGATCAAATGCGAATCATGGCTGTCTCCTGTATTCTGGGTTACACCTGTCCACTGATAACACAATAACTACTGATGTTGCACATCTCCCATGATTTGGTCATTGTATCTCAGTGCTTCATCTCTCCCTCTACATGTGTTTATTCAGAGAGTGTAAGCAGAGATGATGGTGTCCAGTCTTATGTTTTTACTGTCATGCACAACACATCAGGAGGCATTTCCCCCCAGACACCAGTCTTTGGTGAGAGAAAGATACATGGCAGACAGCAGGATTATGGAGAGGGAAAAAAGATATTTGCAGACATTTTCCTTCTCAGTTTATTACAGTAACCATATTGAAGTCTACACACATCAGATGCTCTTTTATTACTTTATTACTTCATATTCTGCCTTTTGATGAAGATGACGTCTTGTCACCAGGGCGCATCACAGCCTATTTCTGACTTGAAAAGTTGAACTGCTTTTTACTCACAGCTGTAAGGCCCTGGTTCTGAACAATAGGCACTTGAGCATAGACAACAGTGGAGTAGAACACGTAGAAAGAACATGTGTAGGGCCCCTTGTGAAGCACAAATAATATCTTTCCTCATAACAAAATTATTGAGTGTTCTTGTGGTACGCTCTGGCAGCACTACACGTGGATCCTTTTTCACCTATCAGTGTGCAACCTAAATGATGATGTTTTAAAGGAATACCATCCATCCATCTTCTCCCGCTTATCCGTGGTCGGGTCGCGGGGGGTAGCAGTTCCAGCAGAGAGCCCCAAACTTTCCTTTCCCTGGCGACATCAACCAGCTCTGACTGGGGGATCCCAAGCGCTCCCAGGCCAGCGAAGAGATATAATCCCTCCACCTGGTCCTAGGTCTACCCCTTGGTCTCTTCCCAGCTGGACGTGCCTGGAACACCCTCCCTAGGGAGGCGCCCAGGTGGCATCCTAACTAGGTGCCCGAACCACCTCAACTGGCTCCTTTCGACGCGAAGGAGGAGCGGCTCAACTCCGAGTCCCTCCCGGATGACCGAACTTCTCACCTTATCCCTAAGGGAGACACCAGCCACCCCTGCGGAGAAAACCCATCTCGGCCGCTTGTATCCGCGATCTCGTTCTTTCTCATGACCCATCCTTCATGACCATAGGTGAGGGTAGGAACGAAAATGGCCCGGTAGACAGAGAGCTTTGCCTTCTGGCTCAGCTCCCTTTTCGTCACAACGGTGCGGTAAAGCGACTGCAGTACCGCTCCCGCTGCTGCTTCTCCGGCCCATCTCACGCTCCATTGTTCCCTCACTCGAGAACAAGACCCCGAGATACTTGAACTCCTTCACTTGGGTAAGGACTCATTCCCTACTTGGAGTGGACAGTCCATCGGTTTCCTGCTGAGAACCATGGCCTCAGATTTGGAGGTGCTGATCCTCATCCCAGCCGCTTCACACTCGGTTTGCGAACCGATCCAGTGAGTGCTGAAGGTCGCAGACCGATGAAGCCATTAGAACCACATCATCTGCAAAAAGCAGTGGTGCAATCCTTAGTCCACCGAACTGCAGACCCCCTCCCCCACGACTACGCCTCGAAATCCGATCCATGTATATTACAAACAGGATTGGTGACAAAGCGCAGCCCTGGCGGAGGCCAACCCTCACCGGAAATGGGTCCGACTTACTGCAGAGGACCCGGACACAGCTCTCGCTTTGGGAGTACAGAGATTGGATGGCCCTGAGTAGAGACCCCCTCACCCCCATACTCCCGCAGCACCTCCCACAGTAACTCCCTGGGAACTCGGTCATACGCCTTCTCCAAGTCTACAAAACACATGTAGACCGGATAAGCGTACTCCCAGGCCCCCTCCAGGATCCTTGCGAGAGTAAAAAGCTGATCCGTCGTTTCCACGACCAGGAACAATATAATACTAGTATATATATTGTAAAGGAATCATGTTTCTAACACTCAGAGCTAACGCTATACTGGAGAGAGTATGTGTAAAGAAGCTGGATATAAAAGGTACTCACCTTCTGGTATTCCCAAGAGAGAGAAAGCATTTGAGCTCCATACTGTTTTAAAATAATGCTTGATGTGGTTTGGAACATAATATGGGTTTTAAAAACGGCTATATTTCAAACGGCTTTTTCCAGCCATCAGCAGTTTCATGTTGGTGCATTCCTCTGCTATTGCTTGTGGGAGCGAAACATATTATCTAACTTCAGCGTTCACAAACAAAGAAGTCACAACAGAGTTTACAGAAACAAATCCTATCCCCACAATTGAATGGAATGTTTAGAGTCGCCATTTCTTTTATTTGCAACAATATGAATAATAGCATTAAGAAACAGTTGACCCCACACGGCACGGAGTTGAGGAGAGCGAGATATGGATGACTTTTGGTGTTTCCTCTTCATAAATGCTCTGATAAGAACATCATAATAGCGCTGACCACTGTGTGGACTCCACAATCCCCTTCAGTATGAGCCAGTTTTATAGTGATGTTCTTGGTGTGGACGGTCTCTCTACGCTCTGCCATGTGACTGATTTAGCACAGAAATAAGGGCACATCTTTTTACATCCTCTGGGAAGCAAGCTGCGTATCTTCAAGCATGGCACATCAGACTGAGCACATTAAGCGTCCTCTTCCCGCCCTCCTCTCTCACAGAGAAACTCAGAGCTCCACTGGTTGCTTCGTATCTCTGGCAAGCTTTGTAGTTTGGTCAAAGGTGGCTCCTGTCCAATGCCCTGGTTTCCCTTATATCTCTCTCTGTCTTTGTCTCTAGAAAAAGAGCAAAACATCTCGAGCTATAGATACATAATTCCATGATTGAATATCAGTCCTGGGAGGGAGCCGGCCCCTGCACTCCCCTCCTCTCATTATGGGCTGTAGATTACTCTGTACATTTTGTTTTGATTTATGAAGAGCGTTTGGCTGATGTCATTCCATTTTAGGCGTTGCACTTGTTTGATCATATCAGAAGCAGCTGAGTGTGTACCCTGCTGTTAAAATCAAGTATATGATTAGAATCCTGACATGCCCTTACTCCTTGGAGCAGGATTGTTTTTTGGGAGATGATCATTTTGATGCAACAAACCAAAGAAATAGCGAATCAGGTTACAGATTAAAAAACTAAATTGGAATGCATGTACCTAAATGTTTAGTGTCACGCACACATAGATAATTATATACATTTAGGATTAACAAATGTCATGCATACATCCAGCATGCGGGGAAGAAAAAAACCCCAATGGCTTATTGGAGTGACCACTCCAATGACCTGGTCACGCACACACGGTCACTTGCTACATGGGCGAGGTCTGTGCTAAAGCACGACTACTGTGCACAGCTGCTCATCATGACCAGGTCATCTCCTGTAGCGTCGGGTAGCTTCTGTACAGTGTGGCCAGGAGGAGGAGTGACCAATCTGTTTAGTGAGTTCAGCGGAGACTATTAGAACGCTATCGAACGTAGACGGTCAGCTATCGCCCCTCTTCCTGTCCCCTTAGGAGAGACTGTGCACCCCGCTGAGGATATTATTCAACAACGCTGCGTTTCAAATGTGTATATGAGAGATTTTTACATATGTTTGTAAATGATTTTG